CAACTACACTACTTCTAAGCTAAGTACATGAAAATTAAACTAATTAGACTAAGGAAGAGACACAATCCATCAAGAAATGAGTATGAACCATCAAACAAATCATAAGAGTATTCTATTTAAACACTATGCCTTTACAATCTCTAGATTCATAATATCAATACACATACATATGCATTAATATCACAAAACCAAGAGATAAACACATTACCATCTACTCTAACATACATAAACATATGGATAGAATGAAATAATCAATTGGAAGTATTAATCATACAAATCATTGTAAGAACAAGATTCATATATAAATCAAGTGTCAAGACAAGATTACAACACAAATCCCTTCAAAATACAAAACATCAAGGTCTAGAAGGCATGCTTAGGGCTAACTCTAGCCCCAAAAAGATGTTTAACCACTCATTGATGTAGTCATTCAACCCTCAAGGGCCATCTCCATGGTAGGAATGCTCTTCTTCTTGATAGAAATCCTAGAAGAATGGAAGAACTCCCAAAATAGTGTATGTCTTTCTAAGCTCTAGCCTCTTCTCCAAGATATGTGAGATATGATTCTATATTGAAATATCTAAGTTATAATGTAAAAATGACTCAAAATCTTTATATAGGTAGCTCAAGTGTCACACTTAATGGTTAGGTCTCGTACACAAGGGTCCCTTCCAATGATTGCACCACAAGCCCTCTTTTAATGAGCTGGACTCTGTTTTATTTCGAACTTGAAGAGATTCGATCGATCGAATTCAGATGAGATCGATCGAACTGTGGCCAGATCCATCGAATTAAGGCCAGATCGATCAATCATTGGCGACGCCTTTTTGGAATACGATAAATCTCTGAGATATTTTGGGATATTTGGAGAAAAAGACAAAAGTGATAGGTAGGGATAAAATTAAGAAAGTTCGATCAATCTGAAGGAAGTTGGATCGATCGAAAATGAAAATTCTTTGAGGATAAGGACTAGGGTTTTGATCCATCTTAATGAGGCTGGATCGATTAATGTGAGATCGATCGAAAGTATTCCTCATCGATCGAAGATTGCTGATTTCCACCACTTTGTTTTCACTTTGCTCATTTTTTCCATTCGGCTTGAGATTGCTTCTTTTATGTTCTAATTTGGCCGAATTGACTTATTTTAGAGATAAGCACCTAAAAAGGGTAATAACATGAAATTAGTCTAAAATGGAAAAGTAAGATAGATAAAAGTCCTAGAATACTCGAGTTTAAGGAGTTTAAATACGCACTTTTCAGCGCTCATCAAAACACCTTTTGAAAATTACTATCACTCAAGTCCAATTTTACTTTTCCGTTATTGACACCGTTAAGAACATGCAAAAAGATAAATTTACCCCTAAATTTTAATTCAAAATATCAACAAACTTAACAGACAAAATTGCCCCCATTTATTTCTCTCTCTAAAATTTTCTCTCCTTTCATCTCCCACCTCTTGCACACCCATCTTCCCTTCCAAAGTCTCAAAAATTATGCATACCCATTTACCTCTTTTGAGTTCTATATGTTTTATATGTATATATTTTTAAATTCTGCATACTCATTCCATTTTTATATTCTATATTTAAATTTATGTTCTTCAGTGGTCTAGTGATATATGTGTGTGATTGTGTGTATATATTTGTGTGGCTGGTGTGGCCATGGTGGTGATGGGGAATGTGGTGGTTAAATGTGACCCATTTTTTGTTGTGCAAAAGGGCAAGATGAGAATCACATTACTTTTTTTTTTTCAAGCTTCATCAATGAAGAATAATGGAGTTGGTGGTGGTGAAAAGAGATGCTTGGGTAGTTTTGGTAGAGTGATGGGTATTTTGGTCACCTAATCAATCTTTTTATAAAAGTCATGGTTCTATGGGATAGTTAAGCCCATTTTACACATTAATCAATCATTTTATAAGTCAAAACAAAGTCAAAAGGGTAATAATATCATTTTATGTGAAAAAAAAAAAAAAAAAAAAAAAAAAAAGAAGTGTTCTAACAACACTGAAAAGTAATTTTTGGGGTGTGAGTGAAAAAAGAACCAAAAATTTACAACGTGAGTGATAGTAATTTTCGAAAGGTATTTCAATATGATATTTGGTGAAACTTGAAGGGGGTGTCAATGAAATTAACCCTAAATATTAAGTTGGAGTGGGACTTGAGCAGGTTGGGCGGGCCAAGAGGTAAGCCCACGCTAAACCCTTGGTTCTAACCCAAGTCTCGAGAAATCCATTGTATCTCAACCCACACTATACTGCACGAATTTCACTGGTTTTTTGAATTTCTCAGGTCATCCCTAATTTTAATAACCTATAAATAAATAAATTTGTATATAGCGATATAAACTTGACATAAAATAAAATCTATCATATAATGAGAAAAAAAAAACCCAAATGTGTGTAATCTAATATGATGTTACTGCAATAATTTATAATTTCTAATAAAAGACATATTAATCATTCTAAGTTTCAAGACAGATGGCATGGTCAAAAAAGTTCTTATTATAAAAATTTGGAAAGAACTCAATAGTTGATTTTCTGTAATATTTTGTTTCCTAAACTAAAATTCAATTATTATAGGTTTGTACTTTATAAAAATAAGGAAAATACTATACTTCACTAATTTTGATTTATGATTTTATCTTCAATTAGGTGGCTCTTATTTGTCAACTTATTTAGATGTTTTGTGTGCTTTAAAAGTAATTTTTTTAATATAGAAAATAAATTAATATAGGAAAGAGAGAAAAAAGGAATTAAAATTTGAGATTTGCTCTTGAATCTATGTGGCGATAACTAAAAAGACATTGATCACCTCTATTTTAATATATATTACACTTTATTCTTTTATGTTTTTTATGTCCTATTTTAGTAAACTAAACAAATTGTCAATGGAAGGAAAAAAAAAAAAAAAAGGAACGAACAATTGCACTAGATTTCTCTCTCACTAGATTTCTCTCTCTATCTTGAATGTGCTTTTCTCTGCCAATATTTTTTTGTTATATATATATATAATATAATCATAAAAAGCTTTAAGTGAACGTAAAAAATTGTAATTTCTAGTTTTAATTATTTGAATATTTAATAGAAAGGGTCTCCCAAACCGAAGATATATATTGGCATAATTGAATTCAAGTTATAAAGTTACATGAGGGTTTGAATTCAATAATTGTTAATTTTTCTATTTTTTTCTCCCTTTTCCCTGTATTAAGTTATTTTCTATATAAAAAAAAATTACTTTTAAAACACACAAGGCAGCCAAATAAGTAGCCACCTAATTCAAGATGAAATCACAAATAAAAATTAGTGAAATGTAGCATTTTTGAAGGGGAAAAATAGCAAAACTTACTATTCTGGCATCCAAACCCTTACATAACTTAATAGCTTCAATTCAATTATATCAGTATATATATTCGTTTTGAAGACCTTTTTTTATTAAATTTTTAAATAATTAAAATTAGAAGTTACAATTTTTTTACCATAAGTAATCTCTTTCTTCTGAATAAGAACTCCTATTAAATCGTTAAATAATTAAAACTAAAAACCACAATTTTTACCATTAATGAATATCCTCTCTCTTAACAACAAGAATCCTCTTTTACATAATTCCTAAAGCTTTTTATAATTTTATTTTGATTTGGTATTTTCTGCTTAAGGTTAAATTTGAAAGATATACCTAACAAATATAGAGTAATTGAAAAATATAGAGAGTGTAGGAGAAAATATATATATATACATATATATATATAAATAATAAATAAAAAAAATAATAGTAGAATAAAAAAATAGAGATAAAGATAAACCTACTAGTGTAATAGTTGGTTCTTTGCTTTTCCTTCAATTGACAATTCGTTTGGTTTGCTAAAATAGAAAACACAAAAGCATAAAAGAAAAAATATATATAATATGTATTAAAATAAAGGACATTAATATTTTTTTACTTATATGCGAGATGTGTAGCATTAAACGTGCTTTGGAATTAAAAAAAAAAGAAAAGAAAAAAAGTGTTGAAAGAGACAAAGTTAGGTGAATACCATGAATCCATAATTAATGATACTATAAATAATCTATATTTTATTTTATTTTAATTATAATCTTACATAAAAGTTATAAACTATCAAACAATCCTTTTTTGGTTCATATATAACTTGTTAGATTAGAAACTTGCACATTAGCACATCCACTTTTAGTTAGCCACCCATGGTTCTCAAAACGAGTTAATGTTTTTCTTCTTGGAGTATATGACAATTTCGGATGCTTGTTAGCAGCGGAAAAAACAATTGAAATTTCGGAAGAGTACTTATCTTGGTGTTGATGAATACCAAAGGAAGTTTTTGTTAAATACAACCTAGTAAATAGTGTTCTAAATTAATAGGATAAAGAGGAAACTCATTATAAAACATGTTACAAAATTGAATGACAATATAAACACCACCAAGCAGAAGTAGAGCAAATCAATGCACCTTATTTTTTATTTTAGACTCCTTTTTATCATACATAAAAGGATATTAAGGAAAAAAAAAAAAAAAAAAAAGAGAGAGAGAGAGAGAGAGAGAATTTTAAGGAACATGAATCTTAATATAAAACTAAAAATATTTGAAACTAGAATGACAAAAACTATCATTTGCTCCACGGAATTAGCAAAAAGAATTGGCAGGTGATACAAGGCTCTCCGCAAACACTACTCCATCACAAACTAACTCATCTGAGAGGCCATGCGGTACAAGATCCTTATATGATCTCTCACTTGTGTTGTATAAAACTAAATTGAAGCCGAACGTCTTCATAAGTGTTTCATCATTATTTAACAAATCCAATGCCTTTGCATAAAGTGAATCTTAATATAAAACTAAATTTTTTATTTTTAGACTCCTTTTTATTATACATAAAAGGATATTAAGAAAAACAAAAGAGAGGAATATTAACAAACCTGAATCTTTAATATAAAACTAAAAATATTATAAATATTTGAAACTAGAATAATGACAAAAACCATCCACGGAATTAGCAAAAAGAATTGACAGGTGATACAAGGCTCTCCGCATACACTACTACCTCACAAATGGAGTCATGTGGGAGACTAGGCAGTACAAAATTCCTATATGATCTTTCTCTTGTGTTGTATAAAACTAAATTTGTGAGGAGTGTCGTGATAAGAGTTTCATCATTATTTAAGAAAGCCAATGACTTTGCATAACGTGAAAGTGGAAATTCCACATGAACTTTAGTCCAAGATTGCTCCACTCTATATTCCTTCATTACCCAAAATTCATCACTATACGGTACTTTTACACAAAGACATCCTCCAAATACCCCTATTCTGCACATTTTATGAACATTGGTGAAGAAACTAGGCAATGGAATTTCTGAGAGTTTCTCACCCACCAAATCAAAAGCAGCAATCTTTGATTTCCTATTTGAATTTATATCCAAACAAAACCAATGAATGGCTCCATTCAGCAGCATCCCGCGAGTGGAATAACAACTGTATTCAACATAAAAACTGTTTTCGACATAGTCTTGAACCTTTTTCCAAGAACCAGCTCTTAGTGAATATATATAGACGCTCTGTTTACCTAATTTCACCAGTTTGTAATCATCAGACAAACGGTCATATCCAAATCCACATACGAGGGAAGGGCAACAAGGAAGTAAATTGCAATATGGTATTCGCTTGGACTCCTTTGTATAGGGATTGAATATTACATATGATGAACCGTAAAGAAACCCTATGCATACCAATCCATTGCAACTACCAATGATATGGGGATGATGATGATGAGGCATAATGTCAAAAATAATATTATCAATATTTTCTGCCACAATGACTTCATTGTGTGTTGATCCGAGGTCTACAGTGTAAACGACGCTACTCGGACAGAAATTGACTATGAGTATTCGTTTTGTGATTGATTTTGATTGATTGAGGTGAGTTCTAGTGAAGTAGGAGTGGGAGATCAAAGAAAGCCATGATTTGGAAACACACTTGAATCGTATCAGAGAATTCATGGGCAATTTTAATAATATTTCAACAAGGAGTTGGTGAGGAATGTAAGGCATTAATGTTGTTGTAATCTCTTTGGCCTTCAACTTATTGCTTTGTCTGCTTTCTTTGATGCTTTCTTTTTCTTCTCTAACACTTTCTTCATTGCTTTGTATACTTTCTTCTTTTTCCTCTCTCTTACTTTCTTCTTCTCCTCTGATGCTTTCTTCATTGCTTTGTCTGCTTTCTTCTTTTTCTTCTCTGATACTTTCTTCATTGCTTTGTCTGTTACTTTCTTCTTCTCCTTTGATGCTGTCTTTTTCTTCTCCCAAACAGAAGTAGTGAAGCCGAAGCAAGAAGCGGCGAAGCCAAGCCATAACTTGTAGTGATAACTAACTCTCAGTTAATCTTCAATTTAGAAAAGAGATGATAGATATATATTTAAAACCGTTTCGTCTTTCATAGTGAATGCAATTGAGATCTCTCTGCTTCTTATATGAGTTGTGAAAAGTAGACCTATGAAGTTCTTGTGGAATAATCATTGGCCACTTCCGCAACACCTAGAACACAAGAGTTCCTGTGGAATAATAAGTTGTTTATAAACAATTTTAACTTAGGGTACAAGTTGGGTGGGTTCAATCCGAAACTAGCCAGAGAATTTTCGGCTGGGCTTGTTAGCAACTGAATTCGGGTTGAACTCGGGCTGAAAAATTCCAGCTCGAGCCCTATTTTGGGTTGAGTTCGGTTTGGTGTTGAGCCCAACCCGAAACCCGGAATAAATATTATACAATTTTTGTAGTTTTTTTTTTAAAAGTTCATATTAAATCTGATCTCTTTATTAATTTTTTTTTTTTTTTTGATCCAACGTTTGATATGTTAATATCATTATTAAACCCTTTAGAAGAACCCGGCCTACCTCATCCAGTGGCATAGCCACATAGGGACAAGTGGGGGTAGCTGCCCCCACTGAATTTTTATTTTTTTTTAATTTTATATGGAAAGATTTTTATATTTGTATAATTGTCTCTACTAAAAGTTGACATTGTACATATATATACTATATATATATATATATATATATATATATAACCAAATGACCATTTACGGTATTATATTAAAAAAAAAAAAAAAAAAAAGGAATATAATCTTTCCAAAACATATGATATTTTGTTTCCACTTTCTCAAAATATTATATTCTTTCCCACTTTCCCCAAAAATACAAGATATTCTTTCACACTTTTGACTTTATCACAAACAAATGCGTTTTTAATTTCCATCACATTTTCGATCTTCAACATTTCTCTTTCGACGAGTCTCCAAACAAATACTGCAGTGCAGAGATAGGTAATGTGATATATATATTTTTATCATCTGAATTTACTATTATTATGCCGTGAACATTTTGAAAACTTGACTGCATGCTTTCAAAATATGAAAAATATTCTGAAATATTTAGTACTGTTTAATTTTTACATATATTATTTTGGTTCAAATAATATATATATATATATATATATATATATATATATATATATATATTATTGTTGTTGTTAAATATGGATTTTGTATGGCTCTTTATGTAGACTATGTATTTTTTCTTCTAAATCCTCTTTTTTACTAATAAGGAAATTATATAACAAATAATCCATATATATATATATATATATATATATATATATATATATATATATATAAGATCCAGATCTCGACCAAACAAGGATTACATCACTACAAGAATTTTGGATACTAGGGACGGATAATTAGGGACATTTTAAAGACTGTCTCAAAAGCTAGAGTTTTTTGGGACGGTTGAGGCCTATGGTCCCAATTAACCCAAAAATAAGCCCGCCAACCTTATGGTGGGAAAATTTAAGAGGAAATTTCACAAAATGGGTTTTTGGGAGGATAAAAGCATTACGTGTCACCCCATAATTAAAATCCTTACCCCATCTCTCTAGCCCCCTCATAATCTCTCTCTTCCCTATCTCAAACCCTAGAGGACCTTTCTGTTCTCTCTTTGTAACCCGAACAACAAACGGCACCACAGAAGATCCTTCCCTCACTGATTCTGCAATGACATCTGGTGTCGATACAGTAATTCTGAACTCCTAACGACCAGCAAAACAGGTTTCTATTTTCTGAACTCTAGCTCCTTAACTCTTTTTTTTTTTTTTTTCCTGATGCTTTGATACACACCCAAATTACAGTGAAAAAAAGAGAAAGGTTTTGTTTAGATAGAAAATACAGAGGGCGGCATAGATCGGTTCTCCAACCTTCTGAAGGTAATCTTTCCAAGCATTGAAAGGATTTGTGTATATATGTATTTGTATGTCTCTGTGTGTTTTTGTCTTCAATTTTGTGTGTTTAATTTGAACGCCCATTTAAAGCTTAAATGTTTGATTTCCTACCATCGCAACCTTCAATTTCTCCTAACTTAACTGATTGATAATTGATTAATCTAGTGACAATGAATAAAACAGTAAACAGATCATTTTTTTAATTCTAATATCATGAATTAGAAATACGGAAAAAGAGAGTGGATAGAAATTAATTGGGATATTTTGGTTTTACATGCTTTTTTTTTGTCATTTATTTTATTTTTATTATTTTTAAATTAGTTTTATTGCAGCAGGGATACAAAAATATAAAAAAAGAGGGATAATAATCAATTTTAAGTTTTTGCTGTTCCTTTAAATATGCCAAACGTCTTTGTAAATTAGTAAAATTGGGATGTGGAAGGTTATTGTTTTATTGGCTAAGGGCTTAGTGGCTAAATAAAGCCACCCAAATTACAGGGAACGTTTCTCTAGCTCAAGATTTCATATTAATTAGTACTGAATGTTACCTCTAGAAATAGATTTCACTTCTCTTATTGAGGTCAAACTGTGACCTACATGCTTGTGTTAATTCAATTGTAAATATTGAAGTTGTGTTCTATTAGTCACTTTAGTAGGTTTGATTATTTTCATTCGAGTAAATGATCTTATGAGTTTATTTTAATAAATCATGATTGTAGAAAATTCTATATGAGATAATGGTACTTCTATATGTTTAAGTAATTTATGTTGTCATTATACCCATCTTCATCTTTTTCAGGTCTGAAGGCAAAGTCTTAGTCATCAAGTATGCATAAGAAAAATAGCTCGAGTCATAAGAAAAGTTGCTTCCAACTTCAAGGCTGGATCAGAGAATTTATAATTTTTGAAAAATCCTTTTATTTTTTTAGTTTTGGTTTCTGTTTTATTCTGGCAAAGATAAAAGCTTTTTTATTCATAAAATAGAGTTAAGATATACAATCACATTCAATTGATTTACAAACTATTGAGGAAAATAGTCAATCAAATTTGCATGTAGTTTATTATGTAGAACAGTTCTTTTAACTAACTCGTACATTGTTTGATCTTGGACTTGGAACATGGTTTAACATATAAGCCTCTTGCTGATGCAATATGGAGGAAAATCTATAAAGCACATGTATCAACTAATTCTTTTTGAATTGCATTAAGAATTGCCAAAGTATCACTTTCAAATACTGCTTACATTGTTATTCTAAATTTTAATGACTTTGGCATTCAAGCATATGTGTATCACTTTCAAATACTGATTACATTGTTATTCTGTTGGTATTGCTTGTTATCTGGATTTTAGCTTTGCACTCACTTATTCTGTTTGATGGTTATACATTCATTTGTTTGATAATGCAGGACAATATGGTGACCCAATCATCATTAGAGGCATTCGATAACTTGGATGCGAGGGAGTCTTATCATTGAACTGAAGGCAATTGTGAATAGTATGTTGGAGTATCAAAGGTTGTCTTCTCAATTCATGTCCACACAGTTCGGTGCATATCGACCCTTGTTTTGCAGCAGCAACAACTTTATAGACCCTTTGGCAGCCATTTAAATAATTTGCAGCCACTGATGCTTCGCCTGTTTGCTCCAAACTCACCATTTCAAACTCATCCACCAACATTTTGATGATTAATCTTTTATTATTACAAGAATGTATTTCAAATATTGATGTCTAGATACTATGTTATTTGGTACTTATTTGAGTACAATTGATGTAAATGTGATTTGTACATTATTTTTTTAAGTAATGGTCATTAAAATTTAGCTTCTTTATTTGTGTTGATATGAAATTCAGTTTCTTAATAATTTTGATGGTTGAAACACAGAAATGGAAATAGCAGAAATAACAGGCGCACATATTACCAATAAAATAAAATAATAATAAAATAACAGGCGCACATTAGGTCCCGAATATGTATTTGGGACAGAAAGTTGTTCCGTCCCAAACCCAAATGAGAATTTGGGACGGTGGATTTGTCTCCGTCCCAAATGAGTATTTGGGACGGAAGGTTATTCTGTCCCAATTTGTCCGTCCCTAAATGGCTTTTAGGACGCTACATATTGGGACGGATGCATCAGCTGTCCCCAAAAGGTATTAGGGACAGTTTGGCTACCTTTAGGGACAAATTTTTTTGTCCCTAATACCGTGACTTCTTGTAGTGCAAGACCTAATATATATATATATATATAACACATGAATCATACCTTGATAGGGTTTTTTTGCGTGAGATGAGATGTGTAGGGTTTAATTTTTAATATTTAGAAAGGATAATATTGTAATTTAATAATTTTATAATAGTTCCACTTATTTTCTCTCCTATCTTTCGTCCAAATTTGGGCAGATGAAAATTTAAAAAGGAGGAGGGATAAGAGATCCATCTTATTATCCTTTCCCTCCGTGTCTCCTTCCTACCGAACGAATGAATTTTGTTTATTCCCTCCTATTTTCTTTCCACTCCTCTTTTTTCCTTCCTACCGAATAGAGCCTTTGCCTTTTTTCTAATGACTATATAGAAGATTTGTCAAATGTATTTTACTTATGCGGTAGTCGTAATGTGTGAAATTATTGTGTATTTTGCACAACTTTTTTAAATAGTCACATCAACATATTTTTTTTCACCTCCCTATGTGTAAAATTGTTGTGTATTTTACACAACTTTTTTACATAGCCACATCAGCATATTTTCTTTCTCGTCCCCCTTTTTCTCATTCCATTAACTAATCAACCCTATATTAAATAGGTTTATACAAATTATATGGGGACACATGATTGGTTGTTATTAATTGGCAAATACATTTTTACAAAATAATTGCGGAAACTAAATATAAAAGGAAAAGCAAATATACATATATTAATTAATTGTAAAAAATGTACAAGGGGGTGGGGCTTATGGAGTGATTAGGCCCACAAGAACAAGCTTGCTATAGAGAATCAGAGATACAGGGGAGGGATACATTAAAGAGTAAATTATATTCATTCCTTTTGAGTTTTGGATAAATTACACAGGTATAGAGCATTTGAT